TCAATTACAATGTATTATAATTCTTTTTTTTTTTTACTTATTTCAGTCAGACGAGAAAAAAATCAGTATGAAATATTACTTGTACATCGAATCTAATGCGGTGCTTTGATGCATGTATGAGGTAAAAAAAGCAGCCAAGTTTATAATAGCTCAGGAGCGCTAACTCTTTCTAGCAAGGATGGTATCTCTTACCCATCCAACATATCTGTGAAGTGCCGATTGTCTGAGTGCAGTCACTAGGTTATAGTCCTCTGAACTATGGTGAACCTGATGCCCCGCCCACATCAGATTGACCTCTACATAAAATCATGATGACATATATGACATAGATGAAATATAGAACTATTTCACCTTTTAAAAAATCACAATATATTATGGACTTCTATCATATAAGTTTGCAACTTTCCAAGAATTCATTCACAGTTCATATCAAAACATTTGCTTTTTTCATTAAAAATGGAACACGTCAATTCTTTACATAAACGTTTTCATTGGTAAAGTGCAAACTTATTTTGTAACAAAATATTTTGATTTTACACACAAGTACATATCTATACAACTATATTAAAATAATAGACTTGAATTTTTGGCCTTTAATACCGATAAATCTGAAGAGTACTGTCGTTTGTTTTATATATTTTAAACATCATTGGTACTTGAAGATTACCAATTTGTTTTTATTTTTTCTCAATTAAGCTTCGCTAATTAATAATCAACGAAAATTCCTCAAAAAATTCCGGAAATCATCTGGATTTTTTGGATTTTACAATCTTGCGCGTGCGTATTACATTCACGCTAAATCACGGTGTTCAAATCAGAGAAGACAAAAGTAATTTGTACTAAGTAGATATATATTTGTAATTTTATAATTTTCTCTAATAAGAAATCATATAAATATATATGAACAAAATATATAGCATATTTCCAATGAAAATTTACACGTATTTGTATTAATGTTTTTGAGTTTATCCATGCAAATGTGATATTAATTGTGGCCACTTGGGTAATCATTCGCCATCTCAGAGACGCATTTATTATAAGTTATTTATGTCTCTGGTCATCTCAACGGAGGCAAAAAGCTCATGATCGTAGGAGCAATATTAATGTAACCACCCGATTTTATTTTATCCTTCCTCTCTTTTATGCTTTTTTTGAAGGGAAAGGGGGGGGGGGGTGTTACAACTCCAGCTAGAATCACATCTTAGTGAAGTAGGCATTCTTTTTCCGCCAGAAATTACAATATTACAATAACATTATTTTCATTTCTTAACTTTGAAATAAATCGAAATAATTAAATAACGTCAATATAACCGATATTTTCAATTTGAAATGTGTCTAAATGATTGCAACTTGGGGGCCATGTTTACTATTACCTTCACTGCTGAGATTTATAACTTCACCTCCAAAAAATTCTTTAACTTTAAAAAAAAGTGGGTGAAATATGTAAATTATTGTTATTGATCTTCGGTACGTTATATAGAAGGGACAGCCTGTTCTTCTAAATATGTAAAGGTTGTCGTGGTAACTACGCTTGATTGGTAGTCTGAAGTCAGCCCTTGCGGCCCGTACAGTTCATTCTATCAGTGCTGTTCGATTGTTTGTGAAATTTAATCCATGCATAGTAATTCTTAAAACTATGAGGTGGGACAAAATTAAGATCGTAAAAATATTTATTCAATGATGAAATGAATTATATTTAATTGTAGCAAACAAACTTATGTTTTATTAAATCGCCACAAGAAAAAATACACCAGCGTGAAAACAAGTCGTCTTTTTCAGCAGCCATGACAGTTCTCATGTGATGTCATGACTTTTAATTGAAAACGTTTAATACTGCAGTAGATTAATTTTTGTTATCACTAAACAGATATATAAATGTTTATGAGGTATGTATTTTATTTTTGCTGCATTATTTACGTATGAAGTAAGAAAAATTCCCATATTCAGTTCAAGATCAGCTCCCAAATTCTCATTGGCTGTCCCAAAATAAAATCGGTCAAGGTCAGTAAACTTTAAAGTTTGCGGTAAACTCAGACTTTACTAAATATTTTTGGAAAAATTTATGCTCTGAATAATAACATTAGAAACATTTATTTTAAAATGTTCCTGATTACATTGTATGATTTCAATTAAAAAATGGAAATGATATATTGTATGATCCAAAAAGAGTTGTACCCCAACCCCAGGAAAAGGCTTCATTATTGCAGCAAGAAGTACCTTCAAAGGCCCGTAGGAAGCAATTTCAGTTTGGGGGGGCACAGGCATACATTTTCAGTTGAGGGGGCACTATCAACCAAAAATTCCTTGACAAGCAAAAAAAAAAAAAAAAAAAAAAAAAAAAGGCATAAGACGTTTTTATTGAGGGGGCACAAGCATATAGTAGCTCGGTTTTCTATAGCAACCTATATATCGGCAAAATTATTGGGGGGGGGGGGGGGGGCACGACCCGCCTCCGGTTCCTACGCCCATGCTTCAAATTCCTACTTTCCTACTTAGGATACCCTTGCTTGGCTTATCTAAGATAATGATAATTTATGTTTCCCATGTATTTTATACTTAGTATAAACTAGAGGCCCATGGGCCACACCGCTCACCTGAGTAACTATGGTCAATTACTCTAACCCAAACAGCTTTAACAAATCAGAAATATCTGTACAAATTTAGTTTTTTATATTAAGTTTTTGACACATATTCTAACTTTGAAATTTTTCTCCAAAGACTTTCATAGGTAAAATTTCAGTAAATATTCTGTTCCCCCTCTCCCATTGTGGTTGTACCCTATCATGACCCCCTGTGATCGTCATCATCAAATTTTAATGTACATTATATGAATTTACATTTCAGAAAACCTCTCTGGTCAAGTAGTTTTGGAAAAGAAAATTCATAAAAAAAAATTTCCTATAAATGCTCCCATGGATACCCCTCCCCCATTGTGGCCCACCGTAACCCCAGGGGTCATGAAAAGATGATAAGATTGAAACGAAATTGAGAATGCTTCCACATAAGTTTCAACATTCGTGGCCAAAAGGTTCTTGAGAAGAAGATTTTTAAATATTTTCCCTATATATTACTGTGTAAAATTTCAACCCCCCATTGAGGCCCCATCCTATCCCTGGGGGTCATGATTTTAACAGTTTAAAATCTACACTATCTGAGGATGCTTCCACATAAGTTTCAACTTCCCTGGTCAAATGGTTCTTGAGAAGAATATTTTTAAAGATTTACCAAAAAAATTTCAATATTTCTTAAATATCTGCCTTTGGTAAAGGCGTGGTCCCTCATTTTAACAACTTTGAATCCCCTTCACATAAGGAATTGTTTTGTGCCAAGTTTGGTTGAAATTGGCTGAGTGGTTTTGGAGAAGAAGTCGAAAATGTGAAAAGTTTACAGACAGCTAGAGTGACTGACGACAGACAAAATGTGCTCAGAAAAGCTCACTTGAGCTTTCAGCTCAGGTGAGCTAAAAAGTAAAACACATTACATTTGTTGAATCATAAAAGATGAAAAAAAAACTTTCAAATTGGTTGCTATTTATTTCGAATTTCTAATAACTATAACAGGTTTAAACACAACTGAAGCAAACATATTGTTTCCAAAAATTGAATCCAAATTATTCAAAAACCGAGGTTTTTGTTTTAATCAAACCGATTCAAAATATTACTAATTCAAGGATATTACATTAATTTTTATCAAAACAGACAGTCATCAGAACATTTTCTTATATCATATATAAAGTACATTTGATATTCTTAATTTTTATTATGATCTCTTGAACAACCAGTATGTTTTTTTTGGGGGGGGGGATATTTGCAAGATAATCTGTTCTGCTTCACATCTGCTAAATTGTGTAGAAATGTAGAAATACTAGTATAGCACATTTGTCCATTTTCATTTCTGCTTTTACAGATTATATACATGTCTATAACCTGTGTATATATAAAGTATATGTATTAGCAGTGCTTAATAACTCTTTTATTGTTGAGGTCATATTTTGAACAAGTTGAGACCTGCAGTGTTAAAATTGTTACAAAATTTTTTACACCTTTAGTTTAATAACTAATTGTGTAAAAATACCAGCTAAACACATTTCTTCATTTTCATTACTTTGCTTGATATGTATCAGCAGTGCTCAACTCTTTGTTGTTGTCATATTTTCAATAAATATCCATAATTTCTTTTATTAAATTTGTTTTGAAAGGTGAAATTTATGTAAGCTCCGGCGTGATTCGAACTCATGACTTAATTGATTTATACATGTAGCTAACTGGGGGTCAAACCCATTCTGTGCTACGCCGTTACGGAACAATTTTGCAAAAAAAAAAAACAAAAAAAAACAAAAAAAAAAACATAATTATATTCACATTCATTGTTTATTTGAAAAGTATCTTACAATATATGAATTGTCGATGTATCTATTTTGTAAATGTCCGATATGCACATGGATGCATTCATAACAATGTCAACCCGTGCACGCACGGGTCAAAGTCTAGTGTACTCCGAAGTTGATATCATAGAGAAGCTTGAGTCTCTAATTGACAATATTTATATAGTCTTTGGCGATAAGGTCTTCCAATTATCTGTTGGAATACCCATGGGTTCTAACTGCCGTTATTAGTAGACCTGTTTTTGTATTCATATGAAGCAGAATTTATTCAAATATATAATTAATTATATATATATATATATATATATATATATATATATATATATATATATATATATATATATATATATATATATATATCGAACAGTGACGTAGGCTGTATATTTCTCATTAAAGTGTTTGCAGCGGAAAGGTCGTAAATTTCATAGACTTCTGTCTGTGATACATGCATGAAGGTTCAGGTTTATTGTATAGATCTATTAGTTTGTCAGCTATATCCACAAAATCCTATGTATCTGTGAAAATGCTCTATAACAACTGAAATGGCAATTTGGTGAATTTAACAAAGTTATTCTCTAAACCATTAGTATAGAAGTGATGTTGAATGATTATTTACCGTGACCACATCGATGTACCCAGTAATATCCAAGGTCTACACCTAGGAAGCCTAGTAACCAGGTCCAGGAACTGTCCCAAGGGAGGTCAATAAGGTTATAGTGTTCATATACCCAGATATATGTGGCCAGCTCCACCGAACGAAACAGCAATCTGATAAAAAAAACATAAGAAGAAAAAATCATCATATAGTTAGTATCGAGAGAATATGGTTTACGCTTTATGGACTGTAATTTTTTTGTCTTAATTTTTGTTTTTAATAAATTCAAAACCACTTCATTAAAATAAAGTGCTAATTACCTAATAAGTAACATTTTTTTTGCGAGTGCATCTATATACATTATCTGACTTTGTTCTATGTTATAGACACTAAAAAGTTAAATATTTGTACCTTTTTTCTTTTGTTTAAAAAAATACTAACCCATGCAATAGAGACAAAAGTCCATTCGCCAAAGAACCAAAGCTGTCATTAAATCGTGGCAGACGCTTTCCTCTCAAGTACAAGATAGGAATTTCCAGAATTATCAAACAAATAAAATATGGTATGGCCTAGAAAACATTAAGTTCAAATTTTATTAGCATTTGCATATATGTGTATATTGAAGCATTTAAAAATATTGATGGTGCAAATAGTGAAAACATTCAAACAACATTATAAATACTGGATAAAGTATACAGGGGAGGGTTTGGTATGTTAACTCTGACGAGACTGTAGCTCTACTGGTTTGTACTTATAACAAAGGAAGAGAAAAGTAGCACATGGACTTGAAACTTTGCAACAGCAATAAATAGATTAATAATGGTTTAGTCTCTTTTTGCGGCAAGAATTTTGCAATCAGACTAAAATTGTAGGAGGAGTAGCCTTTTAAAAGAATTTACAGAGATTTTCTATTTTTAAAACCATGGCAACACCGTTCATCAAAATCAAAAAAAAAACGATAAAGAGAATGGTATCTCAGTGTAGTCTACTTGCATGCAAAATTATAGTGCCTTGGTCTTCTTGTGTGCCAAGTTATTTTGAAATCAGACCAAACCTGAAGGAGGAGAAGCATTTTGAAAAAATTGTTTACAGACAGACGGACGACGGATATCTTACTATCGCATTACGCTCTTCTGGTCTCTGACCAATGTGGAAACATGTTTTATGATTTCTTGGAGAATTTATTGCATTCTTGAACTATAGGGATTCTGCAACCCCATCTCTTATTTCTTATAAGAGAAGCGAGAACAGCGCTTAGAACACTACATTGGGGTGGTGGTCATGTGTGATATCGGGTGGCGGCCCCGAAGCGGAGAAAAGACAAACAAGGTGAGTAAACTTGAAATTTTTCATATGTCTAGATGTACAAGTTCAGAAAATTATATTTTAGGGAATGGGGCAACCTGGCATCCCTCAAAAGTTAAACGTTAAAAACAACATATAAAAGTATGTCATAATTTTTTGGGAGGTTGCCCTTCTCCCACTATTTAAACAATAGCTACCTCTTTGTTTGGAAGCAATATCTGTATGTTAGCACCGTTTTATTTACATCAAAGTTCAGACACTTACATGTAGTATCGTTTTTGAAAATTTTGACAACTTACCTTTAAAAATATTGTCCAAAATCCAATTTCATGTGTGTGTATGGGGGGGGGGGGGTTAAAATTCAAAATAAAGTCTGTTTTTAATCAAATAATCGCATCTTACGCTTATTGATAAATTTTTACCCAAATAAGTTATTTTAAGATTCGAGTTTTATGATGCAAACTAACACAGATTTTGAAATTATTTATTGTTGTATTTAAAATCAATGCTTTGAAACCATTATTAAAACAAAATTGAATAAAAAGCATCCAAAGCAACATTTATTTAACTCATTTAATAAGATATATTGAAAAGAAAAATGACATATGATCGATAGATTTTTCCCGTTTAAGAAAGAATGCTACTTACATGAATACATGTTCACCGACATTTTATTTAATCAATCTTTAAGACATTACTTCTGAAATATGGCTTAAGTATGAAAAGATTGATATCAACTTAAATTAATTTTTATGAATTTTGGGGACTATTTTAGGAGAAAATGAAAAGATTGTTTTAATTGCCAATAAGATCCTTTAGAGTTTAAAGTTTGCCGTAAATAAATGCCGTAAATTAATATCTAATATAACATGTCAATCAAAGTCAGATAAGCTTTTTATTTTTGATAAAAATTATTTATGAAAAATAAACACATTATTTTTAGTATTTTTTTTTTATACCAATGGATAAAAAAAATCATGTAAAATAATAAATATCTTTTATCAATCTTTCAATGCTGAAACCATGTTTCAAAAAAGATACCTTAAAGATCCAAAAAATTACAAGAGGCTCAGGGGCCACATCGCTCACCTGAGCACTGTGGTTAGGAAAAAAGGAAAAATCAGTTTAGTATTGAAAAGCTTAAATGCATAAATGGTCCCAACCTACCCCTAAAAGGGAGGGGGGGGGGGGGGTATGACTTAATTAAATCAACCAAAATTAAATCTACACTGCTTACATAATTTTTTGACTAACTGTGACTTTTTTTCTCTACAAGTTTGAACTTTCATTGTGGCCCCACCCTACCCCTGGAGGTCATGATTTGAACAAATTTGAATCTTCACTATCTGAGGATGCTTCCATATAAATATTACAAACCGTGGCTTTGCTGTTCTTGAGATTTTTAAAGGTTTTTCTTATATATTCCTATGTAAAACTTTGAACGTTCATTGTGGCCCCACCCTACCGCCAGGGGTCATGATTTGAACAAACTTGAATCAACACTACCTGAGGATGCTTTCAAAAAAATATATCCAATCAAAGCTTTGCTGTTCTTGAGAAGAAGATTTTTGAAGATTTTTCCTATGTACACCTATGCTAAACTTTGATCGTCCATTGTGGCAACACCCTTACCCTGGGGGTCATGATTTGAACAAACTTGAATCTACACCACCTGAGGATGCTTCCAATATAAATATGACCAATCATTGCTTTGCTGTTCTTGAGAAGAAGATTTTTCCTATATATTCCTATGTAAAACTTTGATCGTCCATTGTGGCCCCACCCTACCCCTGGGGGTCATGACTTGAATAAACTTGAATCAATACCACCTCAGGATGCTTCCAAATAAATATGACAAATCATAGCTTTGCTGTTCTTGAGAAGAAGATTTTTGAAGATTTTTCCTATATACTCCATGAAAACTTTGATTGTCCATTGTGGTCCCACCCTACCCCCAGGGGTCACAATTGGAACAAATTTGAATCTACACCACCTGCAGATGCTTCCATATAAATTTGACCAATCATGGCTTTGCTGTTCTTGAGAAGAAGATTTTTGAAGATTTTTCCTATATTCTCCTATGTTAAACTTTAATTGTCATCCATTGTGGCCCCAACCTACTCCCCGATGTTCATGATTTGAACAAACTTGAATCCACACCACCTGAGGATGCTTCCAAATAAATATTACCAATCATTGCTTTGCTATTCTTGAGAAGAAGATTTTTGAAGATTTTTCCTATATACTGTATTCCTATGTAAAACTTTGATCGTCCATTGAGACCCCACCCTACCCCCGGGGGTCATGATTTGAAAAAATTTGAATCTACACCACCTGAGGATGCTTCCATATAAATATGACCAAACATAGTTTTGCTGTTCTTGAGAAGAAGATTTTTCCTATATATTCCTATGTAAAACTTTGATCGTCCATTGAGGCCCCACCCTACCCCCGGGGGTTATGATTTGAACAAACTTGAATCTACACCACCTGAGGATGCTTCCATATAAATATGACCAATCATAGCTTTGCTGTTCTTGAGAAGAAGATTTTTGAAGATTTTTTCCTATATATTCCAATGTAAAACTTTGATCGTCCATTGTGGCCCCACCCTACCCCCGGGGGTCATGATTTGAACAAACTTGAATCTACACCACATGAGGATGCTTTCATATAAATATGACCAATCATAGCTTTGCTGTTCTTGAGAAGAAGATTTTTGAAGATTTTTCCTATATATTCCTATGTAAAACTTTGATCGTCCATTGTGGCCCCACCCTACCCCCGGGGGTCATGATTTGAACAAACTTGAATCTACACTACCTGACAATAATTCCACATGAGTTTCATCTTTCCTGGCCCATTGGTTCTTGAGAAGAAGATTTTTCAATAATGCCATTAATTTTTTGCTATTTCGTAATTATCTCCCCTTTGAGGAGGGAGTGGCCCTTCATTTGAACAAACTTGAATCCCCTTTACCCAAGGATACTTTGTGCCAAGTTTGATTGAAATTGGCCCAGTAGTTCTGGAGAAGAAGATGAAAATGTAAAAAGTTTACGACAACAACGACGCCGACGACGCCAACGCCGACGACAGACAACGGACAAATTTTGATCAGAAAAGCTCACTTGAGCCTTTGGCTCAGGTGAGCTAAAAATGTTCCTGTAGAATTCCTCCTTCAATAAATGCAGGTACAGTTAGTTCATAACTCTATATGTACCCCTTAGAGGGCCCCTTAATTGAGTGTGATAATTAGATGTTGGTTTTGTCCAGTAGACGTTCGGGGAACACACCGGTTATTAAGTACTGCAATAGAATTTAGCTTCATTTGTACCTTGTAGGTCAATATATTTTAGTAATTAAGTCAATAAGGCTTCAAACTCGATGTGATAAGCGTATACTTGGGGTGGCGATTTCTGCGTCTCACGGGTTGGCAGCATGTCTTAGAAATAGGGATTATTTTTGCAAAAAGTTTAATTGCGGGATTAAAAAGACCCTTATCACGTAGAATTTTAAAGATAATGTTATGGCACGGTGTTATTTTGCTGTCAATTAAACAAAGTGTGCGTAATTTCAGTCATTTTAACAAAAAGAGTGTTACCATGATAAATAACCTGATAGTGGTGCCACTTTCTTTAATGATATTGCATTAACTTTTTTTCTTTTAAATTTAAATACTCCTCTTAATCATAAAATAAAGCAGAGTTTAGCGGTTAAAAAAATTGACGACATTGACGAATTATTGTGATACTCCAATATCTGTAAGCAAACTAAATACAAAGTGGCATAGAAACTTTTTTTTTAATAAATGGGTAGAGCACCAAAGACTGTGACTCTCTCTACATTCTGAGAGGGGAAGTAACGACAACGTTAATTCCACATACATGTAGGAGATAGAGAATGTGTGTGAAAGGAAGAGGTTGTACGTGTATTTTTTTTTTATTTTTTTTTTAGAAACTACCAAGACTTTTCGTTTTGACGTACAATGTATGTTGATAAGTGCTCCGAGGTGACAAAACATTTTGATTTTAAAATGATGTAAAATAAGTTCAATTTGATTAAATCAAAATGGAAACTGCAGAAATCAACAAAATAAATGTTTTACATATGATAATGTATTGATCTTAAATATCTTAAAAGTAATATGACGAGTGGCATTTTCTGCGTATTTTTAATGACCTTCGTATATACTGCCCCTTCAAAATCAACAGGTGTGGCAGTATGCTATAAAATTGACATGGTCATAATGAAATTTTAATGTGTATTATAAACTTTAACTTTAGTCATAACCTTAATATAATTAAATGGTTATTGAAATTGAAATATTGTTCATAATAGTTAAATACCTTTTTCTCATAAATGATACGAATATTTTCATTGTATTCAGAAAAGGAACTATACTGCGATATGCAGGGCATTACTTATAGGGGAGGGGGAAAACTGGCTCTAGGGGTACATGTAAGTAGAATCCCCCCCCCCCAGAAAGCTGACTCTACAGTGCAATTTCCATGGGTAAAATTCTACTCTGGATCTAGTTTTCCTTTGGAAAATCCAAATCTAGAGTTAGTTTTCCGTGGAGGGGGATATTTACGGGAGGAAAAAATCCTACTATACAAAACCGAAATGTAGATACGTGTGTACATACTATCAAACTGTTTGATCTATTCTGAGCTTGGGCTTTACCACTAGCTTTTACAATGAAACAGAATATATTTAAATACTGGATCAAATTAAGAATGACAGAATATTGCATTCTTAAGTCTTGTTATGAAAATATGGTATTAACGAAATGACAAATGCATTTTGAAAATTAAAAAAAAAGAGTACACTTTTCTAGGACTAGGTCAAATTTGGACGGAAACCCAATAAATGTGTTTAATTGATAAAGCTTAGACTTAGAGCACTATAAAACAACTACTTTTAGATATTTCTAAGCAAACTATAACAGAAAGTATATCAAATTTTCTAAAGGGTTATTTATATCAACATTTAATTGACAATTTCTGTTCGCAATCATATTAAACAAAACCCATTGATAACAAATTTAGACGATTATTAGTGAAATTTAGGTTATCAAATCATACGTTGAATACTGAAACAGGTCGACACCGTAAAATAACTAAGATTAATAGATAATGTATGTGTTGTAATCCCCATGATATAGAAGACGAATTTCATTTCATTTTCAAAATGTCCTTTTATAACGACCTAAGCAGGATATTTTATAAATGTACATACTAAGCCTAGAGTCTTAAAATTAATTCAACTGCTAAGTACTAATAATGTTAAGGATCTTTTAAATTTGGGCAAAATTTAGCTGCAGAACTCTATCTAGGCAAATTTTTTAATTCTGCCACATTGTTAAAGGGGCCTGGACACAGATTTGAAGATAATATTTTCTCAAATTTTCTGTATAATATCATGGCTTTTATGTTGCTATAGCATTTCACTCGGAAATATAATAAAAAACTTATTTAATTTTAAAATATTGAAACTACGAATTTCGGGACGCGTTTGATTGACACATTCTTGCACTTTCACCAAGTAAACTTTATCCTTAATACTTAAGAAAGGCGAAATTTTGTTGTGTACTAATGTAAATTTATAAAAACTATAATCCAGAAAATTCAGTGTAGAAATGTGAGAAAGCAAAACCATCTCACCAGAATTGTCAGTCCATGCTCAGTGATGTATGCAGAGTTTAACAAATAGAACACACCCGGTGAAACGTAAATATTAACAATAATAGAGCTCATGCCCTGTTTACAAAAACAGTTTACGTTTCACCGGTCTGTGTATCTATTTAAGAGCTCATGCCATTATATGGTAAATTGGTTGGAGACAAGGCTGTCATTTTTCGATAATTTATAAATTCATATCGTTTGAAATGTACGCTGAGATCTTGTATTTCAACCAAGCAAAAAATTGTACTTATCTGTAACGTAAATATGTTTTATATATATATATATATATATATATATATATATATATATATATATATATATATATATATATATATATATATATATATATATATATATATATTATTTTTTGCTGACATTGATTTTTTTTAAATAACTTTAGTAAGTACATTCATCAAGTTATGGATTCAAACATAATATTTAACAATTAATGTTGAATTCTCTTAATTTCATGATTTCGAAATCTCGAAAAGTACATGTACTTCACGTATTTCTCAAATACTGAGTTCACAATGTTTATTCTCCTTTATATATTAATACATGTATCTAGGTGCTCATTATTCCCATAGAGCCATTTATCTGATTTATTAAACTTGTTATTACCTTCTTTAAACCTGTGAAAAGTGTTTTGAGACCTCACTGATAATCACAGTCAGAACTTCGGGATACAATTAATGGAAACCACCAAGTTTTCGTTACATAATCTTCATAATGCTAACCATGTATTATACATGTATCACTCAAAGTTTTGAATACACGTAAGTACATGGTGTATATCAAATTGAAAATATAAAATAGTCATCATCGACAGCCACCCCCCCCCTACTTAACTGAGAAAAAACATTATATCTTTGATATTATATAGAGTACATGCTTCTGATAATAATGTCAAGAAAACGTAAATAACAGATTATTTTAAAATATTCCTCACTAACCTCATCGACATACTTAGGAACTTTTTCCACAGTTGGAAAAGAAGTTTCTTTTGGAGACACAAGGTAGAAAAGTCTTCTTAGTCCTGTAAATATGTTTTTCAGGGCATTGCCTTCCATTTCCTCTCCAACAAGTAACATCTGACTTTGTTTTGGACTTTGTTCATGTCGAAAGTGAAAGTTAGTGTAAACATGTGAAACAAATTTGTTGTCTCACGAACCCGATTTAAATTCATATGATTGAAAAGTTGATAAGAAACATATAAGGCATACTCTAAGGGCGGGGGGGGGGGGGGGGGGGGGGGGGGGGCTTACATTGTATAATAAAATTTTTTGGAGGGACATGTAATTCGTTAACTACAATTTAAGAACTTTTATTAAAATTTAATTCTGAATGTGTAAAGAGTAAAAAACGTGGGCACAATTTTAGCAATTAAATTTTCAATGACTTTTAATTTTACGGGTCTGACTTTCCAGAACAAAAACTGATATAAAATAAAATAAATGAACTAATTTGAAAATTAAAGAGAAATAATGGGGCATTTTGAAAATTTATCACAAATTCCTAGTTTAAAAAAAAAACAAAGTTTAAAAGCATCCAAGCTTAATACATGTAATAGCTAGGGCAACAACGTTGTTTCATAGTGAAAAATACACATGTAACAATGTTCTTGCTGCAGCAGCTTTAATTGCAATAAAACATCCAACTCATTTTTTAAATTAAATTAATTATTTTATTTATTTATTTATCTTAGGCCAAATAAAAAAATATGTGTGGTTCCGGTTACCCGACCGTCCCTATTTTATACCCCCGACCCTAAACTTTTTTCTGGCAATTTTCATATTTTTTCCAGAATTTTCCCCGACTTCCATCATCGGCTCCAGTATTAGTTTTAGTTTCAGCGATGGCGGTCTCCTTGCAAAACATCATTTCAACACATAGTGCAAGTTTTTGATAGTGTTAAATCCAAATCAAGCTAGCATGTAGGTGTCCCCTACCAATGTTGACTAGTATATTATCACGCCACATCTAAATGCCACTTGCAAAGCAGTGATAGGTATTATTTAGAAAAATTAAGAAAATCATTTTGTAAAAAAAAAAAAAAAAAAAAAAAAAAAAAAAATCCCTACCTACCTACCCTAATTTTTTTGGAGATGTAACCGGAACCTCACATATTTTTTTGTTTGGCCTTACATACATGTATACGAATAGGCATAATAAATTGAGGGTGTTGGACTTGGCCAGGGACGTATAAACTAACATTTTAGTATTATAAATACGTCCCTGGTTTGGCAGTGTACTTCTTAAAAGCTAAGAAACCTCGGCATTATAATTACACGTAACAACTGCTCATCATCAGCTGGCCATAGCCTTTACATTATACCGTAAGTACATGTAGATTTTATTATTTTTTTCTATATTGTGTGAAATCATGTACTTCCATAGTAAATTCAAGGTTTAACAAGCAGACATATGTGTAAACTTGTAACCAATCACTTATAAAAACCTTTACAAGGGTTGGCAATATGACAAATATAGAGTTAGATACCTTGTGGAAAGAAAAAGTAGGGGGTGCCCTATATTAATAATTCGAGATTCCCCCGACTCTACCCCCCACTTTTATATTAGACAATTTCTGCCTTTATTCCATTCATTAACTTTGTGATAGTGTTTTATTTTGTTTTTGTTTTATATCATAGGTACATCATATCAGAAGATGACTTTGCTCTTGTGCTTTCTACGTCATCGTAGGTATCGTTCGCATATCCTTTCTTGCTTGTAGAAAACTTAACGACGGGACTTTTAGCACGTGGGTCGACTTTTGCGTAGTCATCCAAATCAAAGTGTTCGTCCTTAAATGTTTCCGTCATTTGAGCATAGTTGTCTGCAGTCTGTTTGTAACTGGCCACATTAGACGAAGAGGTAGCTCTGAATTCCGTTGATTCTTGAATCCTTTCTTGCAAAGGTTTTCTCAGCGGCTGTGCATACACGTCACGCGTCACGTGACTTCCTGTACTTTTGCGTCTCTGTTGTTCTCTGAGTTGTTGTTGCAATGTAAGGTTAATTTCTGCTTTCACATCAACATCTTTGTTTTGATGGCTAGGCGGATCAACCTTGTTGTAAACGTCTAAAAGTTGAGTGTTATCACGGTAATTTAACACGCCATCATTGCGTTTAGTGTTCGAAACCTCGACTTTTTGCTCTTGTACAATCAAAGGTGGTCTGAAAATGTATGACCATAGACTGTTTCTAATTCAGACAGAACATGTAAACGAGCAACAAATTGTCTTTTGTATGTTATAACAGAAAGAAACTATTCAATATTCTATAAAACATAACTTTCTTGTTTTTAAATTTCCAAATTCCATACAAAATAGAGCTGTCTTAATTGTACATCAACATCATTGCTTACTTGTTCCTTCTTTTCAGCAGTAAGAGGACAAGGATAACTACGATGAGAAAAACAATGATAATGGACAATGTACAGATGAGCGCTACATCCAGATCTACAACAGGCAAAATTATCAATTATCATGCACTGAAAAAGACAACAGTAGCAAATTACTGTAAGGTTTTAATGGCAACTTACAGATGAAGGAATTTAAATACTAAAATCAGAACTGTTTAAGAAAACCTCATACTCATTAAACAAGCTTTATAACTGCATATAATTATGATAAATAAAATGTCCACATCAACAAAATGTATCAATATTTATTAAGACACACAGTTCACATGTACAAGTACATATATACCAAGTAGATTTTTTTGGTCCGCCGTGAGTCCTCGGTATATGACTGTGAAGTTGGGTGAAGCGGCTGTAGAAGTTAACATCGTCTCTATATAAAACAAATACAGCACAATTATAACAGCTATAAGGTAATCTACAGTGAAAAACATACAGGAAATATCTAACTAATTTGTTTTTAAAATATCTTGAATTTTAAATAATAAAACAATTTACTTAATTCAATAACCATAAAATATTGACAATTCCTTTTCATGTGAAATTGAGAAGCACAATTTTTCACTCCCCACTCTAAAAATGTCCACTTCCTAAATTTTGGCTGACTACATCTACATGTTTATTTATATGTAGGCTACCTTTGATATTGGACTTGTATGTAGCCTTGAACCCTCCGTACCGGACGTTCTGGTTGCTATTGGATACCAAGATAAGGTTGATGGTGTTACTGGTGGAATTAATGGTGAATCTTTGCAATTTACCACAATACTTCCCTAACAAAGTAGACTGTCGAAAAAATCCATCTCTGATCTGCAAAAAAGGGAATAGAATCTTACAAGTGATCAATCCCGCCATTATCGAATTCTTCCTCTACGCTTGTCGGCTGCTGGCTTTGTGAAAATGGTAAAATAAAATCACATCTAAAATAAACTAATGCTGTAGAGATTGAAATTATATTTTTGTTTAATAAGAAAATTTTTACGAAATAAAGATTTTTTTAAACATGTCTGTTTTTTTTTGTTTATTTACTTACACTTTACATTCCATCAAATGCTACAAGTCACATATTCCGTTGTATCTAGATTCAGTGTTATCAAAAACTGACTGACAAATAAGTTTTCACCTCCAATGTAAACAAGAACATTCACATTTAAGCAAATATTTTACTTAACAAATATCTTAATGTCTTAGGAAGACTTGCTTCGCAAAGCTGCACATGACAATAGGCAATCAACCCACTTTATGACTCATTTTTTATCTCTCAATAGAAAATGAAGGCTTACAAAAAGAAATACTGAATCAGAAACGTTTTACACTACAAAATAAATTTTCCAACAAGAACGAAAAAAAATTGACTTATTCATTAGCTTAGATTTACTTACTAGTATTTTGCATCTATTTAAAATAAATAAATGTGATTGATTTTTTTTAAAAAAAAAAATACCCAAAGATAATAATTGAGTAGCCAAATGTTACAGAGAATTGAAGAAAACGAAAAGGGAATGTTTTCGTAAATCCATATCATTCATTATACTTTACCTCCACATAATCATCGATACACAACCCGTCCACTTTAGATCCGACATCGAAATCTATGAAGGTAAGAGAGGTTATTCTTCCTGGATATTGAGTGATGGTGTAACTGCAAACAATGTCCCGGATGTAATTCTTAGGATAACTAGGGGACATAATTTCTCCCGATTCTTCACTCAACGTTACTCCACACACTAGGTAAAACATTTTAAAATTAGGTTGGTCAAAAATGCCGATCATTATTGATACAACTGAGAAAAAAATTATTTTTGTATTGATAGTACTCACCGCTCCATTTGGCCTGAAACCCCTCTGAGCTGACGTCACACTGTGCCACAAACTTAACAAACATTCGGCTTGTTGTCGATATTGTTGTTTCCGGTATCGTACTTCCGGTCACTACTCTTAACAATGGAGAACTTTCATCAACGCCATTGTGAATCTTTAAAATAATACAGGAATTCAGCTTTATACATGTATATATGTATACCTAGATTATATTCTTTAGTAAATGTTTTGCAGATTTTTTAAAACAATGGCGTCAGTCAATGCTCCCATATAGGTTGCGATATTATTGACGACACAAAAATCATTTAGAGGACAAAATTCACACCCTTCTTGGGTAAGAGTGCCAAAAAATGCATTCCTTCACAATTCTCAACGTGCAACAGAATCAGTCAATACTTGTTAATGATAAATATGTTTTCAAAAATCTTTTATAGGCGTTGTTATTCGACTCTCTTTTACGAATCAATTTTCTTTGTACAGCGTACTTCTTTTATGATAGACATGCTAGAATGAAAAGTATCCTAATTCACCTGTATATAATCTTCACAAGTACCCGTTTTAACAAGCTTTAAGTTCAAGAAATCCAGCACCACATTGCTTCCAGAGACGCTATCTATGACGTAAGAGCACGACCGTTTAATTGGATAAAATCCAGGCCAAAATGGTGATCGAATTTTGCCTGTAGGTGTGGTAACCCGGCTGCCACAAGCTTTAAAATAATAAGAATTATAATTTATGTAGCTGCATCTATTAAATAAGGAAAAACAAACTGTAAACTACAATCATCCAAATGACCATTTTTTTCTTCACTGTATTAAGAACAGACCTGTCCATATCAGGCTATACTTAAAACC